AGGGGTGGGGGCGGGGGGCCAGGGGGGGCTACGTGAGGGTTTGGGTTATGAGGAGCCTGGAAGCACTTCGGGGGTTTGGGTTTTATGCGTGTTCAAATCGTGCCAAACCCCAACCACCCAAGTCCGCCCACGCCCCGCGGGCCCCGGGTGCCCGAGGTTTTTGTGGTGCTCATACAGTGGGAAGTAAGATTTCAGAGAAACTAAGGGCGGACTCAAAGCACACAAAACACTCGTCGTCGGAAAACAGAAACATCGCAAATGCCAAGATGTAATGATCGAAGCAAAACGGAAACCAATATAGCATGGATAATAGCAAAAATCAGACACATCGTGTCGAAGCCCCGCCAGTCTGTGGAAAGAAGTACCAACCCGAAAATGCCGATGAAAAAGTACACTAAAACACACTCGAAAGCCACAATCTCCGAAGTAGCAAACTGGAGAAAAGTGCGTACTGGAAAGTACACTATAATACAACATCACGAAACACTACGTCTGCACAGAAAAGTACCCACTGGAAAGTAGACTATAATACAAGCTCACGAGACATTACGTCTGTCATGGATAACAAAAAACTAAAGTACACTGAGAAAGTCACGAAAACGCAAGTCCGCAATCCGTCAACAATCGTCGTGCGCACATGGGTCTCGCTCGGACCGATGAGAAACTCATCCGTGGGACTGACCACTGCCACGTCCTCGATCTCTCTGACGCTGGCCACCGCGTCCACTGGCAGAAGGCTCGGGAGCGACGGGAAGCTCGTCGGGATCGTCGTCCATAATGACTCTCCTGCCTCTCACCATCCTGATGGCTGCTGCTGCTAGGTCATCACGTCGGTGTGACTCGCGTGCCATAGGTAGACCGTCAATCCCTGAAGTCTCCCCCTCCTGGCGTCGATCTAAGGGCACTTATCGGGCCTGCCTCAATCGTGTAATAACATCAGGCTCCTCCAAAATAATCGACGCCTCTCTCAAACCGTACGTCCGTGGCGGATCCACTGCGCTCGTCGTGGCACCGCCTCCGCCCTCACGTCGGCCGTCGCCGTCGCCACCACTGCCACCGCCGCCACCCCCTCTACCGCCAAACCCTTAAGCTACAACATCTTGGCGTCTCGCGCTCGTGGAAACCCCTCTCAAACCTGGCCAACGACCGGCACTCGCCGTCGTCACCCGTCTCGTCTCACTCCATGGTCAATCAGTGTGACCGAACAACATGGTGTCCAACAACTCCCGCGCACGTTGGGTAGTGTCTCTCTGTCTACGGGCAACCGACCTCGGGGTGAGACTGCCGCCCTCCCTCGGAGCTGCGGTCAAGGGTGACGAAGGGCCTGCGGCACCTCCAGATGGCGCTGCGACCGAACTTCCAGAAGGTAAGTCCCCTGCGGCCCCGCCAGATGCCGCTGCGACGGAACCTCCAGAAGGTAGGTCCCCTGCAACCCCGCCAGATGGTGCTGCGATGGAACACCCAAAAGGTAAGCTGGGGCTGGCCGGCCCCCAAGATAAGTCCTGCACGTGAGGCAGCTTCCCCTCCTTTGGGACTGACCTCAAAACGCGCTGGTCGATCTCTGTCAAATCCCTCCTGCCATGGTCCTTCAACTCCTCAACGGTCATAAAACCAAAAGGGTGGCTGCCCTGAGGTGTAGCCACATGCCTGATCTCCGGCCTCGTCCGTGACGGCGCAAAAGTAGGGACCGGGGGTATGCACGCGCCCCTGCCTACACGTCGCTCCTCGACCGGGCCACCGCCATGTGCAGGACACCTATAACCCTCCAAAAACGGTGCCTGATGTGGCACCACTGGCCCCACAGCAGTGCGAACCACCAAAGTCTGTGGCATCTCCTCTCAGTCCGCGTCACGCCTGTCCACCTGTGCGGGGTCTCCCCCGCCAGACGTGGACATCGGATCGGCCGCGGACGGCACCCCCAACCCGCCAATACCAACGGCCCCCTCTACGGCCCCGTCCCCCCTGGTGGTCGGCGCTATCCCCTTCTCCTGTGCCGATGGGCGAATATCATCAACGCCCACTGACTGCCCCGTCTGTATGTCCTCCAGACCCGGGGACATCTGCACGGCACCCTCAACTGAACCCACGGGCAGAGGCACGCCCGCGACCTCCTGCAACGTCTCCTCGGGCCTCAGCAGGACGGGAGGAAGCTGCGCCAGCTCCGAACGTGGCTCCTCTGCCGAAGGATCCGTGTGGGCAGCTGGCCCCACGGCAACGGACGCCGACGTAAATGTCCCCAGCTGCCTCCATCAGTCCTCCGCCGCTTGGGTCCCTCTGTGCCATGAGGCAAGCTCGACGACTATCAAGCCTATCCAGCCTCTCTGCAGATGTCTCTCCAGGGGGTGTCCGGTCCTCATCCCCCTTTGCCCCCAACATCACCTCTGCGCGCATGGCAGAAACTACTCAGATCCGCGAAGCTGATCTGTCCCAATAAGTCCTGCATACCCACACTGATGTCCCCACGAGACTCGCTCTCTCCTCGGGCCAGATCCACGCTCTCTCCCGGGGGCATACCCATGTCACCAAACTCACTGCAACCGCCTCTGCCGCCCATCGGTGTCCCCTCAACCGCCGCATCAACCTCGGCACCGCCTCCACCTCCGGACAACGCACCACCATCTCCACCAACCAACCCCTGTGTGACTCTGTCGTCTCCCTGCACCGGCACAGGACCGCCCTCTAATCTGTCCTCCAATTGCTGTCTCGGGCCCCTCACCAATCTCTGCAATCGATCTGCACCGGCTAGCTGTCGATGAAGCTGCTCCGTCGAAGTGGGAAGAGCGGTGGATGATGCCGTGCTAGAGCGACCCAGAGGACGATGGCCAATCCCTGACTCTGCCCCCCTCGAAGGTGCAGACCCAGGATCTCTCTCGCGCTCAGCGGACATAGGCCTCGAACGCTCTAAAGGGCTCCCATGACGACCCCCAGACTCCTCCTCCAAATCAACTCGAACGAAAAGGTCATCTCCGCCACTCCGTCTACGGATGTCGTCGGGGTCGCTCCACTCATCACGCTCATCCGCCGCAGGAGTGGCGGTAGTGGGGCCCGCCGGCTCGTCCTCGTCCTCGTGACCCTCGGAATCACTGTCGTATCGAGGGCACGGGTGCAATGTGGCGGCTCAAGTCCCAAAAACATCGCCCACATCACCCGGAGGAGCTCTGGACCCACATGGGTCTCGCTGCCATGAACGTCTCTGATTCTCGACCTCCTCCCGCGTCCTGCTCTCGTTCGTCCCCTTCCACGAGGGGCGAATCCCGATACCTCCCTCCACGTCCAACAACGACTCATCTAGAGTCCACGGCAGCGCGAACCCGCGGCCTGCCCGCTGATGAGAGAGAAGGCGGACGTTGGCTGAGATCTCAACCAACTTCGCGACCTTCTCGAACTCAAGCCGGTTACGCTTCTTCGTTTGTACACCCTCGTGGACGACCCAATTCCTCTCCGCGGGAGAGGAGCATGTCCACATGTACATCACACGGAGAGCGATAACCTGCAACTGCAGGGCGCACTGCCCGTACCTCGACCACCAACACCCGGACTTGTACGTCTCCGCATCGTCCCTGCACCTCTGTGCATCTCTCTCTCCGTCTCTCCCCCCCCAAGCAATCGTCCCCTCCGTGTGTGGAAGTCGCGCAATTGCGCACATGCGGTCTCGTAGTCGCGGCTTGCCACACTGAACCCTGTCTGCGACAAGATGTAAGTATCCGCCTCCCTCACCAAGCTCGCGTCGTAGTCGCCGACCACGCCCTCGAAGTACCGCAAGTCCCGCCGGCTGGGACAGAGAAGCCTGAGAAGGTGAGCAGCGGTGTGCGCCGGCTCCAGCATGTGAGCGCATCAAGCCTGCACCCTCTGCACAATGTAGTGTGCAAGATCTGTCGGAAGTGCACAAACCTCCTCTGCTACCTGGCGAGCCGATCCTGTGTCCAGTCAACCACCCGCGACATATGCAGCCCTCCGCGGTCCAACCTGCGCAGCAGGTCGTACACAGGTTCCATGATACGGAACAAGATGCCCATGGAGTCCCACCAACTGCCATGTCACACCTGCCACCTGACCCACCTAGCCAAATGATGAACGGAATGGTCCTAAGGGACCATACCCCAAGTATCGCGATCCACCGTCCTCTCCAAAGCTGACCTCACTGCCAGCAAACGCTCCACCATCGCGAACACGGATGCAAAACGTGTCTCGCAAGGATAGATGAGGCCCATCTGACCGCTCTCCCCCCGGAAGATATGGAGAGCGGCGCCGTGCTCCTTAATGAAGCGCACCACCGCTCTCCCCCTCACGATGATGTCCTTGGACCACGGGCCCGAACAGCCAATGTCTGACAACATCTTGTTGCAGACATGCACTACGCATGGGAGCCACGTGATCCGTCGATGCTCTGGCCTCTACTGGGGCGCCTGGAGCATGTTCGCCGCGGCGACGTACGCCGAGGCGGAGTAGGTGCAGATGGCGTTCATTCACTTAGGGGAGAAGTCATCGAACACCTTGATCCAGCGCGCCAACACATCAGGCACCTGATCCCGCTCACCCTCCCTGTTCATCGTCCGGACGAGCATCACCTCACACGACCCGCTGGCAAGGAAGTTAACGATGGGTCTAGCATCGCATGACTTCCTTCCGTCTGACATAATGGTGGCCCCCGTGACATAGAAAGGAGCCCTCACCTCCACGAGATCAGCTCATACATCGTCCGCCGTGTGGACAATGGTCTCTATGTCCTCAATCTCATTCTCTGAAGGCCACAACACCTTCACTGGCCCCGACAAATCCCTTAAGTGTCGGACGACATCCAACCACGACTCGCTCCGGAAGACGTTGAACGCAGACGCTGACTGTACATAAAACGCAGCCACTTCTTCTTGAACTCCATCTGCCACTTTGAAGTGAATGACTCCGTGATTGTGTTCTGTCTCATCCTCTTCTGTGCTGCAGTCGGTCTGGCCCCCTCTTCTCTCACCTTCCTCTTCCCCGCAGACGGACCCGCCTCAGCCGTATCCGCACCTGCCCGTGTACGAACAGACACGTGCGCTGACGCAAAGTACTGGCCCTGCTGCCCCCCCGGCTCGCTGACAACGCCCTTCCCTCGCTCCCTCCCTGACGACCCCGTCCGTGCAACCTCCTCGACGTCGTCGTCCACGTCGATCTGCTCCTCCGCGTCCCTCATCTCTCCCTCCCCCCCCTCGTCCCGTCGCGGATCCGTCGCTGGCGCCGCACCGTGAAGCTCCTCAAATTGCTGGATCCGCTCTAGGAACTTGTCAGACATCTGGTACTCACTGTTGTAGTGGATGTCGACAAGTGCCTCGTCGGTCACTTCCAGACATCTCTTGCCCTGGCGGAAATGGCGCGCCGCCACGAACTGGTTGCCCTGGAACTCGTGGCCGCAAAAAACGCACTTCAACATGCGATTGCCGCGGAATCTCTCGTCGAGACTCTGTCCCACGCGGATGTACTTGTACGCGCAACACTTCTTCTGCGCCTTCCGATTCTCGTCCTCCCCCCCATCCTCAAACACCCGAGACTGACTTCGCGGCATCGTGCCCTCTCGCCGATGGGTTCACCGAAGTGGTCTGCCCTCAGCCTGTCCCACGGAGCTCCAACTCCCGCCGGCGTCCCTCCCCGCAACAGGCCTCGTCGGGCCAACCCCTAGCTGCCTCTGTCGTGTCGGCCACGCACCCCCCACGGCCTCGAAACCCCCACTGAGCCGACAACGTGGCACGGACCATGCAAAGAACCCCTCCCCCAGGCGGCGTTGAAAGAATTGAACGCACATTCAAAAAAATTGAACACGTGTTCAATTTTTAGTTCCACTGCGCGCTGTTGTCGTCTTCGTCGCCGAACTCCGTCGTTGGGGCCGCCGTCCGCTGCCGTGCTCAGCCGTCGCTGTCCCCGCGCGCCTCCACCTCCTCGAGTTCGACATCTCTCTCTCTCTCTCTCGCGCGCGCGCGCGCGAGCGCACGTGTGTGTGCGTTCACTCGTTCGCAGTGCGTGTGTGCAGCACTTCGACAAGTGAACGTGGGGAACACTTGACGCACACTGCACGACTGTGTCGCGTGCAAACGCTGCCCCCGCTATATATCGCCCCGCGACGAAACGCACGGGCCTTTTTTTTTTTTTTTTTTTTTTCTTTTTGGGACTACAACCTCCCCACAGCCTCCCCTAAACACCCACGACGCTCCCGTGGCCTCAGAGGCACCCCCACAGCCCCGACAGACCCCTGCGCGAACGCGTCAATCACGTTTAGGGACGTTCAGTGAACGCGCGTTCACAGCGTTCAAAAACTGAACGCGGAACGCGCGTTCAATGAACGCGTGATAACATAGTGACGGTCGCCTCCTGGTGCACCGCCATGTAGTCGTCCTTCGGCCTGTCTTCGATGTTCGCGCCCGCAAACCACAATGGCAAGTCCATGTTCAGGTCGATTGTGTGCGCGCAAACGAATGCGTTGACGACGTTGCTCCACTCCTCGCCGTACCACATGACGCGCGCAATGTCCGTCGCCACCGACTCCAGCGCGTACTGGAAAGCGACATTGAATCCTCGAGGGCGGTTCCCGGACTTGAAGACCCATCCATGCAAGATGCGCAGAGCGATATTCTTTGTCGGCGTCGCGCAGGCGATCGCCTGCTGCAGTTGTGCGGGATCCGCAATCCTTGTGATGGTCGTCGACGATTTCGACATAACGACGCTCCTGGGCACGGGGGGCGTTTGCATCCCGCTGGCGATGACGACAAAGTACTCCGGCGATTCGTGGACCATGTTATACAGCCTTCGCCCCTCCTCCGTCGTCCAGAACGCTTTGTCATCGACCCACAGGCGGGCACGGTCGGCAAGATCTCTCGCCATCCCTCCCCTCCGAACCCGACTTAGAAGGGTCTTCATCCTCCCTTTCACCCTTGTTGTCGACGCGCGTCGCCTCCCGCTCCACAACTAGGACCTCTTCTCTCGCCCTCGCCACGGCACCAACATTGCCCGAAGACCCCGCGACTGCAGCAGCGATGGCACCCCTACCCGCCACGCGCGCTTCCTGCTGGGCCCCCTCCCCTCCCCCGCGTTCCATGGAGCCCCCCCCTGCAGCTGTGTTTCGCGGGCGCGGCTGGGACAATGTCAAGGGCAGGCCACCCTGAGGTGGCCTTTCTTCAGTCGCGGCGCGTATCCTGGCTGCCATCACCGTGGTGCCTTGTGTCACATTGCGCTATCTACGGCTCTCCAACGGCTCGTCGTCCTCGCCGCCGACGTCGACGACAACCTCCTTCGCCTTTTGGGTGTTGTGCGCACGCACTTGTTGCGCCTCCGAAGGGGGCGTCACCAATCTTCTCGCACCGCTCTGATCAGATGAGCGTTGAAGAGTGCTTCCCCGAGGCGCCGCTACGTTGTCCTCTGCTGCTTCCTCCTCCATCGTGAAGACGTCGTCATCTTCCTCTTCGTTGGCTGCCGTCCAACTTCGCCCTCGTCGAAGAGGCATGCTTTCTGATGCTTCTTCCGAAAGGAGCCTCTTCGTCTTTGGGACATGCCGCTGACCCCTTCCCGCCCCTGACTGTCCGCGGGGATGTTTTCCCGCTTCTTCCCACGGGCGCCTCCTCGCGTAGACATGCTTCCCGCCTCCGTCAATGACCGTCTGTGGCTACGCCTGTGTTCGCACCGACGACGAAGAAGCGCGTTTGCCGCCCGGGGAAGCAATGCGTCCTCGCCCTCGCCACACACACAACCTCCACGTCGACGCGAACGCGAGAAGGAGATGAACACTGCGGACACTTCTCTGCGGCGAGAAGAAGAACTTCGCGACTAAGCGACGACGGACCTCCGAAGGGGCGATACGTATCCGCGGCGAGATGGATCCATGCCGAGATGGATCCGCGCCGAGAAGGAGAGCGAGAAGATCCAGAGCGATGATCGACGATGACACTGATGAAGTCCCACGCGAGAAGAAGATGAACACTGCTCCGCGGCGAGAAGAAGATCTTCGCGACTAATGGACGTCGGACCTCCGAAGGGGCGATACGGATCCGCGGCGAGAAGGATTCGCGACGAGAGGGAGAGCGAAAAGATCCACAGATTCCACACCGATGATCGACGACGACCCTGAAGACATCCAAGACAATGACGACTGCGAAGAAACGGGCGACTTCGTAGTGGCTGTGCGGTGCGAGGAGAAAAGGCAAAGGGCGTCCCGCGTGGATGTCGTCGCTGTGCACCGTGTGCGCCGACCTTCAATGCTAAAGAAGCCGCAAGCGGAAGACCTTTATGGTGGACGAGGCGCCAACGCATCAAAAGCATGGAGCAGACGGACGGGACCCGACGACAATTCCTCGCCTGCCGTCGTCGTCGACAGCGACACGTGTGACAGCAACTCTGTAGACCTTCCTTTCGCACATTCCCTTCAACTGTTGCCATGCCCGAGCGAGAGAGGAGGCGCCCACAAACCCATCCACGCGTCTACAGAAGCGCGTCCATACACTCTCCACGGACCGATAGGGCCTTCTCAAAAAAAAAAAACAAAAAAAAAAAACAACCC